TACAGTGGCAATAAAACTTCTCTACTCTTATACGCCAACCCCCTTAAAATAATGGCCAAAATTCCATTAGCCTTCCTGATTACCTGCTGCACGTGTGTGTTAGCTTTCTGTGTTTATTGCATAAGTCACCCCAAATCCCTTTGTGTTGCAGCTTTCTGCAGTTTTTTCTCCATTAAATAATATCATGTTCTTTTTGTTCTCCCTTCCAAAGTGAACAACTTTACATTTTCCCCATTATTCTTCGTTTGCCAACATTTTGCCCACTTATTTAAGCTACCAATATCTCTCTGTAAACTGTTGGCAATTCCCTCACAACCTGTGTACACTTACATTTGGCCATTCTTCAAACCAGGCATCGCATAGTGCCTCCTGGGGCAGCATGGTGGCACAGTGATTAGCACTGCTGCCTCACAACACCAGGCTAAATTACTCCGTGGCATCCAGGGATGTGCAAGTTAGATGGATTAGCCATGGTAAAGGTGGGGTTACAGGGGTAAGGTAGGAGGTGGAAAGGCCTTTGGAGGGTTGGTTTGGACTTGATGGGCTGAATGGCCTGCTTCCAAACTGTAATGATGCTATGTTGTTTCAATGCAGTGGCACTCTGAAAAAGTTGAATTGCAAGTTCTAAAGCAATGTGCAAGCCTCAGTTGACTTACTAGGTTCAGAATTTGACGCCCCAATTCAGGGAAGGACATTTACTGTTATCCTTGTGACAGAGGAAGTTATAGATAAAAAGCTAGTGATAAGTTGCATTTATTTTACACAGCAAGTTATCTGATCTGGAGTGCATTGTCCGAAAGTGGGTGGTAGTAGATTTTATTGTAACTTTCAAAAGGGAATCGGTCAACTACTTGAAAAGGGAGAAGTGTTAAACTGGTATGGACAGGGGTAATATGTTGCAGTATGTGGGCAGCAAGGTTTTCAATCAGTTGCAACTTGCAAAGGACAGAAGTTCAGGAGACTGGTGAAAGGGAAGTTTGGAATAATTGAGCCTGGAAGTGATGAAATCATGTTTCAGCAGGATCGCTGAGCAGGAATATTGCTGAAGTGAAAATAAACAGAGACAGGAAAGGTGAAGATACAAAAGATTAATTCAGACCCAAATGGAAATGTGCAATGTTCCCTTTTAAATTTACTTACTGTGTGTGACCCTTTTTATAAGAGGGAATCCTTTTATTTCATTTTGGGGAATTGCAGACATGCCTTATTTATCCTTGAATAGTGCTTGCACAGTACCTGACAAACTGCTGTACATTCCTTCACCTGCTCAATTTAGTGAGTAAGTTTATACACACTAGGCTCATCTTGCCACTACTGAGTTTAGAAGTTCCTTTATACCTTTACTTTTTGTTTGATTGCTCCACTCCCAGAAAGTATCAAAATAACTCGATCGGACATGTGGCAGGAAGGTGAGGAAGAGGTTAAACATTCAAACAATTAGAAACTTCCCCTCCTCAGTGGTCGAGAACGCCCTCAACCGTGTCTCCCACATCTCCCGCACCTCATCCCTCACACCCCGTCCACGCAATAAAAACCAAAAAAGAATCCCCCTCGTCCTCACGTACCACCCCACCAACCTCCGGATCCAACGCATCATCCTCCGACACTTCCGCCATCTGCAATCCGACCCCACCACCAAAGACATCTTTCCCTCCCCACC